TTCCATTCTGTGTTTCCTTGAATATGGTGGGAGTTACTTCTGAGTAGACAGCCTAAAGATTGTGATCTGATCATGTTTCTTTAAGTAGGCATCCCTCCCTCCCTCGGAGAACCACGGTTATGCAAGAAAAGCCTTCAGAAAAAAGAGATCCATTTACTTTCTCTTCTTCCTTCATGTCCCCATCCTCAGATAGTTTCCGGAACAGCTGTACATCAAGCTAGCATGCTGAGTGAGCATTGCTGAGCAGGAAAGACCTGCAGCTGGATGGGTGGCCACAGGTGGCAATGGAGCAGTGGGTTGGACTCGGTGGCCTTATGGACCCCTCGCAACTCATCTTCTATTCCGTTCAATTTGATTCTATTCTACACGGCAGAATGAATGTCACAGCCAGTGGGAAGCTTGGATTCGAGTCCTCTTGTTCTAGAAGGAGCTGTCTTGCATTGCAGATACGCTGCTCCATAGAGAAGAGCTGTTTCTCAGGGCGGAGCAAATAGTTTGCATGCCGAAGGTCCCAGTTTGCATCCCAACTTCTCCAGGGTAGGGCTGGGGGAAAAAAACCCTGGAGAAAGCCACTGCCAGTCCTTGCTGACAGATCTGGGCGAGGTGGACCAGTGTTCTGTCTCAGGAGAAGGCAGATTCCTGTATTTTGTGCTACACAATGGCCTTGTTTGGAAGCAGTGGCCGTGTCTAGCAGGAATTAATCTAATCATTCCCTCATGTGGGTTAATTAATTAATTCATGGGTTAATAAATTAATCCACCTACCGGTGAAACATTTCATGGACATGCACATGGCAGGCGTGTCATGAGTGGAGCCAGCTGGAGCCAAGGGTCAGACTAGATGGCCCAGGAGACCCCTTCTGACTCACTCTGTTTCTTTGTCTCTGTGATATTGAAAAGGTCACCTCCACCTGCCACCTTTGCCTTCTTGGACTGAATTAGGTTCCACTGAGACACACCACCTGAACATAACTGGGTATCAACAGTCTTCTCTCAGATCTGGAAAGATGCTTTCTCTGGGAAATCCGCACTGATGATTCCACACACAGAAACTGTAGTGTCAAGAAGGGTTTCTGACAGTTTGTCTTGACCTTAGAAATCTCCTTAGAATATATGTGGTCACTTTCAAACCCTCACCTCTGTATGGAAACTCAGCCTTTTTGTTACTATAGAACCATTGCATTAAGAACCATTCAGGATCACACCAAAGGGCCTTCTGGTCCAGGATCTCTTTCACACATTGGCCAAACCGCTGCCCATGGGATTCCCACATGCGGCATGTCATGAGTGGAGCTGGCTGGAGCCAGGGGTCAGACTAGATGGCCCAGGAGACCCTTTGTGACTCACTCTGTTTCTGTGTTTCTATGTGTAGTTACAGCACCACGTTCCAGCCCCTGCTTCCGATACTCCTTAAGGGAGACAGTCTTTGATACGAATTCATGCTGCTTTTTTCTCCCTGCTCCCCAGCTGCTGTCAAAACGAAATGAGTTTTTTAGTAATTAGACATTTAGTATTGCAAGCGTAGGGTTGAGCTTTTCCAACAGGCATCTCTTGTTAGTATTTAGATGCTCTGGCCTTGTAATTGATCTTCCTCATCATAAAAAACTCGGTTTTGCAAACAAACCAAATTATGGTGGGCACCTAGAGAGTTAGAGAAACAGACTGGAATTTCAGATGCTGCACTGTTGTTGCCCTGGGTGACAATTTATAGGGTACGCAAGCTGTCTGATAGGCATTCCGGCTCAGCATTCCCTGCGTCTCAAGCAGGCCATCAGCTGCTGCAAAAACACAACATCGCCTTTGAGAAAAGGCACGCCAGAGCCATGCCTCCATTAGTCTGCATTTGGCTTGATCTGAGAGATAAATCTTAGAGCGTATGTCCATTTGACCGGAATTTGCTAAGTTAATTAGATTCTTACCTTTCAAAAGATGCTTGCTTTTTGGATTAAGCTTGGATTAAGCTGTCTTGGGGCCTTTGGGGCTTTTCGAAGTATCACCAGATGCTTCCTCATGGAGAAAGGCTGGAGATGAATGGAAGAAGTCCTGCTTTGATGCAGGTTTTTGTCTGCATCGCCCATCTCCTACTTCATACTTGCATGAGTGTGCCATGGGGATTATGAGGAAAAGGCCTACGGGTGCCGGTCTATGCGTATTTAGACAGGAAAATGTCCTACAATTCCAAGCACTCCTCAGCCAGATTTTTGGAGGTTGTAGGACTTCTTTCTATCTAACAATGTATAGGACAGTACCCTATATATACAGGCATTCCTTGTTTGCTTCTTTCCTCCTTTCTATTCTTTGTTACATCCTCAGATCGGTCTCTTTTGGCTTGTTGCTCTGTATTGCCACAATTTAAAAAGTTAATTTAGGTGTGATTTGAACAAGTTCCCATGCACCTAATAATTTGGGGCTCACTCTGTTTCTATGTTTCTGTTTCTTGACATTCTCTTGTGATGTAGCTTTTCTCCTTAAAAAACGAACAAACCAACCTGAAAATGATCCTTCCCATATAAATAGCAGGCTCTGATTTTTATTTAAATTGCAATGCCCAGGTAAAAGTTCATCTTCCGTTCTGTGTTTGGGAGTAAGCAGACACAATCTCCAAGAACTTGTTCCCATAGTAGGTACACCAGCCTAAGCGAATAGCATGTCCTTGAGAAATTGGCCACCATAGTATTTATTAACTGCTCAGTAATGACTTAACCAGAATCGAAGTGTGATTGCCAAATGTATTTTCCATCATGTTATTCCGTATCATCACTATCCCTAATATATTGCACAGCCAGATGATGATTTGGCAGGATTGTCGCTGAAGCAGGGCTGCAGCACAAGTAGGGAGTGACTGCCACAGCTGGAAAATCCCCATGTTTTGCAAGAGTGCAAAAAGCCTTCGGAGGGAAACAGCGAAGTGGGTAGAACCACCATGACGTGTCGTGAGGACTGGGCATGCATAGCGACCACAAAATGCTAAATATCTGTTGGGCAAAAAACCTGGGAAAACGAGAAGGAAGGAGGAGCAGGATAGAATATCCTGAAAGAGGGAGGGCTGGTGGCACTTCTTGCCCAGTCCCCCTCTATCTTTTGAGATTTAAGAAAATGTTTACACAGGCTTTCACGGCCCTATGAGGATTATAAACTTGTTTCAAAGAAGAGCTGAAATTCTCAGGAAGCTGAATTCTGGGCCCAGTACCACATTCTGCATGCGCGCCATTCTCATATATAACGGCAGCCGTGTTTGTTAAATAGTTTGGAAAAAAGCAGAGATTGTAATTTGGGTTTGCTTATGAATGGCCCACCCAGGGCCAGGGCTGGGAGCTCCCCACACAGAGCGTGAGCATTTAAACTGGTCCCGTGCCATTGAGTTATTTCCTGCTTATGAATCTTCCATTGTAGGGTTCAGATTTTTCCATTTCCCAGTGTGTCGGGCACTCATAAAACCAGCCAACTGCCCCCTGCTCCCAACTCCAGAGGTTTCTGCAAATGTGGGCTAGCTAGTGGATGCCTCCAGAGCAACCTCTGGCTTTGTGAAGGCATCTCACCATGCTTGTGTGTCCAGGCTTGATGCTCCCTTGGGACATGGCCAGTCTTCTTGTGCCCTGTGCCAAACAAATGCACTCTGAAGGCAGCTAATCATGGTGCTTTCTCAGTCCACGCGCCACCGTGAAACCTAGTCGTACCAACCAGGGCTTGCCATCTTGCTAATGGAAGTAAATTCTCTGACCCTCTGCCTGCAGAGAAGTGAAGGTGGCTGGCAGGGGATGGGAGACTTGGCCTGAGAAATGGCAGTGTTGGCCAGTGATTCCTCATAAGGTTAATGTGCAGAGTTATTGTGCTTACAGCTGGACTCTGCCAAAGGATCATTAAGGGTGAAATGCTAAATCACGCCAGCTTTGCTCTCTCAAATACCTCACTGGCTTCTTTGGGCTGCTTTGCCAATCGATGTGTTTGGCACAGGTGGCTGCAGGGCACAGATTACTTGGAGTCAGGCAGAGATGGGGCAAGCATATTGATATCATCAGCTCCTTCCTCCCGTCTCAAGGGACACAGGTGGTGCGGCTGGTTAAACCACTGAGCTGCTAGACTGTTGATTGGAAGGTTGGCAGCTCAAGTCTGTGCAATGGGATGAATGCCCGCTGCTTTGTCCAAGCAATTTCCTGCCTAGCAATTCAAACTGCAAGTCCAAGTAGATAAATAGGTACCACCTCGATGGGAAAGGTAACAGTGTTCCGTGCGCCTCAGGGTTTAGTCATGCTGGCCAGGTGACCATGGAAGTGTCTTCAGACAACACTCGCTCTTTGGCTTACAAATGGAGATGAGCACCGACCCCAGACTAGCATGTATGTGCAGAGGAACCTTTACCTCCATTTTCAGCCCAAACCCCTACCCCCAGTCGTCTTCTAAAAAGTAGACATGGGGCCCAAGCCTCAGCTGACCTCCTAGAATTCAAGGACTGGACATGGAATTCAAGTATTGTGTTGCTCCCTCTTGACCAGACCGGAGATGTAACCACAATTTGTGTTCCTTCTATTCAAGCCTTCCATCAAGCAACCCTTTGGCGAATCTTCTTATGGTCCGGGGTAGTCCTGTTTTCCTGGTACCCATCCCTGCTCAACTGCGTTCTCTATTCTTCGGGGTGCCTTTACTGTTGGCCAACTATTGTCCATACAGGAGACACCAGCAAGATTTCCCCTTCATCGTTACTTTGGATATCTTTGCAGAATCAAAACATTTATGCCAGGATGGGCTTCACTGTGTCCTGGGTGGGACTGCAAATTGTCATGTCATGTGAACGGAAGATGCACCGGCCATATGAGGGTCAAGCAACCCTGGAATAACCCACAGTCTGTTGTTGGGTCCTGTAAGAGTTGTTTATGTCTTGCACAGCCTTGGCCACCAAAGTTCTTACGACCCAACAAACTTCAGTCAAGCAGTGAAATAGTCCACAGGCACTAACCACAGCCCACTGGAGCTTAAATTAGTTCCAGTGGGTGGCAAACTAACCCACTGTGTTGCATTAACTGAAGAGAAGACACTTTAGGCTTTTGGTTAGCTAATATCTAAGGATGTACTTTAATCATCCCTGAGGACTGGAATGTATTTTCTTAAATATATAGTAGACACGCAGCACAGTTTTGGATGCAGTCTGAAGGATGCGGTTTGCAGGGAGCAGGTAGCCAGCAAAGAGGAAAGTTTGGTGCTGGCTGTGGAAACTTTGTCCCTTGTTCATTTTGGGGGAAAGCAGATGCTTCTTTAAAGATGAGAACTGTTGGTTAGAATACCTGTCTTCTTCTCTTGCTCATCTTGCATATTTGTGACAGATCAAATAGCACAAGATCACTACAGCTCTGTAATGTACACAGTTCTCAAGGAAACCAGCAATCACCCAGAACTCTGTATGTGAGTGTCTGTATTCAGAATGGGCCATCAACTGAGTAAATGTTTTTAGTTGACAGATAATTTTCCTGTGAACCAATCATCTGAATTTTAAAAGACACATATTGCCAAAACAGCTTTGGGATTTATTTACAAAACATACCAAAGCAGTATAAAAACAATTAGCAAAAGCCTTAATGCAGAATAATAATTGGCCTCCCTGATTTAAAAGCAGTTGCCAATCAATTAGCTGAAGCTTTTAGTTTATCAAACGACTCATTTCCAGGCTTGCTTAAGACAAACTGAAGGAGGGGCCTAGATGGGTGTATAAACCGGAGCTAACACTGAGTGGTGAATCTTGTACAGTAGCTTTAAGCATATTTTGCAAGGGTTGTCCCAGAAATGGCACCAGATCAGAGTGGGCGCTTTCTCGTATTTTTCTGAAAATGCCAACCTGAAAGTTGAAGTAAGAGCTGCGTTGTTCTGGTGAACTCTCTCAATACATACATGCTGCTGATGCTGTCGATGCACCATTCTTTCTGTGTTTCAGCATGCACATCTCTGAAAGCCAACAAGAATTCTTCAGAATGCTGGATGAGAAAATTGAAAAGGTAAGAACAACTAAGGGAACATATCATCTGCTTTCGCACTGTATGTGAGCTTAAGACAATTGGTTTTACATCACCTTGAAATTCTAAAGAGAATAGACAGCAATATAGAAATGTTTTAATAGCCCTGAGGCTTTGTTGCGATGGGGGCGGCATAGAAAAGTTTTAAATAAAATAAAAATATGTGAGCCATTGTGCTAAGAGATAAAATCCATTGGAGATTTATTCCTGATCTAGGGCGAGTTTTCATGTTACGGTATTCATGTTCTAATTGCCATAATCAGTTGCTTGTTGTTAATTGCAATGTCACACCTTGAGACTGTTGTGTGAGCAACCTGCAAGAATTATCGCAGGAGTGAGAATCAATTTGTGGGTGCAGAACCAACCTTTCGTTGGCTGGCTGGCTGCAGTGTCAGTGGGATGTGAAAATTCTTCATTGCTTCCTCATAAGTAGGGGGTTGATAAGGGTCAATGTAAGCATTTAGCAGCAAGTAGCAGCTCTTACTTTGAGAAGTATGATCTGCTGAGAGACTGGTTATGTGATAGATGAAATGAGAAGGACAAGCCATCTGTGGCCAACGGAAGCAAGATGCTTTGTTGTGGAAGTTTGACCTGGCGGTTTTCGGAGTGCATCTCCTCTGTCCTGGTCTGTACAGAGGCTCTGTAGTGGCAATTCCTAGCCTTAACCACAGTGGGCCCCAATCCCTAGCATCCAGTGCTAGTATTGGACAGCTTGCTTCTCTTGGTGCGCCTTGTCCCTTGCTATGAAAACGTTGAGCAGTTTTCGGAGAGCATCACTTGTTCATGGGGGAGAAATTGACATTACACAGGCTATCGAAATCTTCTGCCCATTAATGAAAGTGATGCAGTAAATAGCTGCAGGTAATTTTATCCAGTGATGTCAGCAAATGTGGATGGCTTTAGTCTTCAAGACTGGGACTTTCGTGGGAATGCACAGGGGAAGCGTTCCATGGGAGAGGCAAGATGAAGCGCTTAGCAAGAGGGTCCTGTGTTTTTCCTGCTTACTCAAGTCTTCCTCGTACAGTCCAGTGCTGCCAACGCATGGTTTAGTGTTTGGAGCCTGAATCGAACTCCCCTAGCCTGGGAATCGGTGTCCTTCCCAACACCCTCCTGATGTGGCTGCAAGGAAGGGATTGGTAGCATCCACTTCCATTTCAGATAAGCATGTAGTCAGGATCCTAAAGTGTGGTTAATCTCTGCCAGTGTCAGTGAAAACAAGACAGCTTCATTAATTATTGCTTGAAGTTGGCTTGTTTCCAGTAACCATGGTTAAGATAACGGCAGCTTGTCTGAACATCTTTTTGTGACACTGCGTGTTAATTTATGATAACAAGACATGGATTTTCGTGGTGTTTCTTTTCATCCAGACAGCCATCCTTGCAGATGCTTGAACGTATTATTATAAGTTATTATAAAAATTATAATAATAATAATTATAAATAAAAGATTCAGACATACTGCTTTTATTTCATGTGATGAAATCTGTTTCGTTTTGCTTTGCTTTTTGCTAATGGAGGTGGAACTCAGGGGTCCTAATGTCACAGAGGGGTGGGCCTGGCTAAAGGAATCAGGCTGAAATCTGGCTTTTTTGCACTCTCCAGACTTCTTCCCATTTTCGGCCTTGAGTGGAAATCAAGCCAAGCTGAGAACAAGTCTGCAAATACTCAGGAATGCTAGCAGATTCTTTGCACAAAGTATGTAAATAATGCCATTCTTTGTGCAAAGCAAGCAAAGCCCACAAGTTGCATGCGAGGAAGAATTCTGCTTGAACTCGCTTTCTGCCCAATATCCACACAGATGCTTGGCATGAGGTGTATTTAGTGGAAGAAAGAAAACGGGCTGCAGTTTGTGGGGCTGAACTGAGGAGATCTGAAGGATTCCCACTCCTGAACCCGATTTCTCACACATCTCTAACCACAATGGTAGATAACATGGACTAGAGAAAGGAATAGAAGGACCAGAGAAAATAGCTGCCTGAGGAAGTCTGGGACAGATTGCGAGTTGACATAGGACTGGAAGGCAAGAGTATAGGAAGACATTTAAGAGAGCAAAAGGGAGCGGATGGGGGGAAATGAGCTGTACATGGCCAGAGGCAGAAGAAGAGCTGGAAACACACATTGATTTGAAATAAGCAGTGATCCTTTTGCTCTAGTATATGCCCAACTTAATTTGTTGCAGAAGCTACATTAAATGCTGTCAGAAGTTTTGGCATATGTGCATAGTTTATCAGTTCAGCAACTGTCATAATTACCTTTTTAAAGAGCAATGTAACATAGAGCACATCTTCCACTGATTTTAGGGGACTTAACACCCCCTAACCCAAGTAAGACCATAATTATTATGCACTTATTTAAAAACAAGAATGTATGAAGTTCGACTGCAAAGCTCATGTTTTTGGGCCGGTGCCTGATCCGTAATTTCCAGCCTGATCCCAGTGAGAGGTTGTGACAGGAAGAAGAGGGAAATTTGCAAGAATTTGCATTTCCTTTTGCAAGAAAAAAGTGGGATATATAATACCTAAAATAAAGAGGTCTGCCTAACATCCTTGAAATCTGTAAGAATCCTTCGAGCCCCTGCCCAAGGGAGAAAACAGGTCCTTGATTCTGTCTACATTTTGGAGATGGTGAAGAAAGAGTGAGAATTTGCAGCAAAAAAGAGCAAAGCAGCCACTTCTCTCTATGGGATAATGTCTCATTCCTTATCATTATAATAAACCACCCAGAAAGCCCTCTGGGCTACTGGGGTGGTATATAAATGCAAAAACAACAACAACAACCAAACAAACAAAAACCAAAATATCAAAAAAAAAAAACCCCCAAAAAACAAAGGGGGAAAAAAACTTAATCTGCTGTAACCCAGCCACTTAAAAATTTTTTTCTGTGAAACAACCAATTAAGGAACATGTTTTTGATCTCGCATGCTATATCTAGGTACATGCCACCAGGATCCCTTGTTTTGCCATGTGGGCCTCTACCATACAGCTACAGAAAATATTTTTTTTCCTATGTGGAAAACCACGTTTCCCTGGCATAATCTGTGAAGTGCCCTTAAATCCGATGAGTACACGAGAGTGCAGCCCATTTCCTAGCATTGTTTCCCACAACAAGTTTATTAGAGAAGGAATCCTAGAAGGAGTGTGAGCTATTGTTCTCCCTTCTTGGCCGGCTGTAACCTTGCTGGTGCTTTCTAGCACATTTCGAATGGTTTCCTCGCAAGGGTCAGGAATTCACCTGCCAAGGCAAACATTTCCATGTTATCTGCTGCAAGCCAGGATACCTGTCTCCTCTATTTCCAGCCGGAGGATAATTGCAACGGAACCTGTTCTGCTTTGTGTCTGTTTTTTCCTTAGAAGAATCCCAGCGCCTTCCGTGTTGGTTCCAATGTGCTGGTTGTTTTTGTTCATCATGACCTTATTTTCCTAACTGCCAACAGAACAAAGTGGCCAAATTAGTGATGAGTGAGCAGTGGCAATGCATGTACTTCAAATAGGGCAGCCATAAATCTGCAGCTTCCATGAACTTTATTTTTTGACCTATAAAGAGGACCTTCGAGGATCTTGACCTTCAAGACCCACAGCCCAGGAGAGTTCCAAGTTCACGTCAGGAACCATATCCTGTCTTCTTGCAATGAGAGCAGCCAAGTCTGCTGTAAATCCCCTCTATTAAAAGCAGGAACAAACGGAGAGACTGCATGCACAGAAGAAAACAAAAGCCACAGGTATACTGGGTTCAGAAAATGTCAGTAGCATGGAAAGATCTGCGATAGAACATTTCCTTCGTTAGACTATAAGGGTAATTGGCTGGTTCAAATGTGGTGGCCGATTCCTGGGTTGGTTAATGCCGGGGATGTTGGGGGCCTGAGGGAGCACCACAGAATGCCCCATGACATCCAAATTTAGGAGCTCTGACTTGTTCAGGTGTTAACCAACTAGAGTGAGCTCAACAGGAAACCATGGGCAATTGTTGGGTTACCTCTTGTTTAATGCCTTAATGGCCCACAGTTCCTGGGTTCAGACATTATGATCAGTATGTGAGATGTAGGCAAGTGAGCAGAAGCTAGTGAGCATGATCACAAACAACCTTTGGTTTGTCAGTCACGGGTTGTTTGATTGTCAGAGGTGGACCATTACCTAGATCCTGTTTCCAACAGAGTGAAAACATGTTCAGAAACTGCAGGCCATGGGATTCATGAATAAAACATTGATGAAGTGCCGGGCTTTTGTTCTTTTACAGACTGCCAGTTTGTAGGTGGTGTTGAACCCATTTCCACAAATCTATACTGAAGCATTCCCAGTTTTATCATTACATTACCAATGGTGGGCTTTTCCCACAAGGTTGTCAGCCTGTTAAATCTGCTTTATAGCTTATCACAACATTGAGATCCAAGCAGTACATGAGAGGGATTTCCTTTCTCTGTTTTCTATAACCTCTGGGTGGTACAGCAGTGTGACTGTGCAAGAGGAAGTTGTGCTTTCTTTCACGTTACAGTTAAATGCCGCATGTTCCCAGCTCTAAAAATATTCCCTGCAGTTACAGGTTAGACATAGAAGCAAACTGAGAGGTCCTCTAAAGTACCCATAAGTACTTCCCGATCAGAGTTCTGCAATGCGCTCTACGTGGGGCTACCCTTGAAGACAGTCCGGATACTTCAATTGGTGCAGAATAGAGCTGTCAGGCTGCTGACGGGGACTGGGCATTATTCTCACATGACTTCAGTCCTCCGTCAGCTTCACTGGCTTCCCACTGAAGTCCGGGCCCAATTCAAGGTGTTGATGATGACCTATAAAGCCCTAAACGGCTTGGGCCCTGGTTACCTGAAGGAGCGCTTACGTCCATATATGCCCTCCCGCCCCTTGAGATCAGCAACAGATGCCCTTCTCTGGGAACCCTCCATGAATGATATTAGGAGGGTGAGTACCCGGAGGAGGGCCTTCTCTGCGGTGGCGCCCCACCTATGGAATGTGCTCCCCAGAGAGGTCTGCCTGGCGCCGTCCTTATTTGTTTTTCGGCGCTGGGCTAAGACCTTTTTATTTAAAACTTATTTTAAGTGTTAATTTATTGTGTAGGATTTTAACATTTTTAAGCCAAGATGCACTGGGTTTTAATATTTTTAGTGTATAACTTTGTTTTTGTATAATTTTGTATACCTTTGTTTTTGTTGTAAGCTGCACCGAGGCTTTGTTGCGATGGGGCGGCATAAAAATGTTTTAAATACATACATACATACATACATACATACATACATACATACATACATACATAGATAGATAGATAGATAGCCATGGGTGGGGAATGACGTGCCCACAATAAATTCTTCACATAGATCAGTACTGCGACATTTTGGATTAACTGGGCTCTGATGGGACATACCTGCTAACTTCCAACTTGGTAGTGTGCACCACTGGGTTTTGAAAGACGGGAGTTGCAGAGGAACATGGCTTTTGGAAGTGCTCATAACTACCTAACCCTTGAAGGAAATGATTACGGAAAAGAGATGGATGGGCTGCAGCTCAATGCGCTCTGTCTTGTTTAGTGCTGGGTTCACACATGCCATCTCCAGTGCACCCTCACATTTGATGACCTTTTCTAGTCCTTTCACTGCTGCTCTTCCAAGTCTCAGTTTTCTACTTTCTTGGCTGCAGTACCCCTTTGAATTAATGGCTGATCCAAAGTATACAAAATCTTCCACAAGCTTGATTTCTTCACTGCTGACAGTAGCATTCTGTAAAGTTTTGCAAGGAGATTGGCCACCATATTTTTTTATCTTGCTGAAGAGGACAGAAGCTGATGTCTAAATGTAACTTGAGTTATGGTTGCTTCTTTTCCACTGGCGTTTGTTTGACACTCAGCCGCTTCCTATATGGGATGTTGGACAGATGGCTCTTCCGCTTGGCCATCACCTGTTCCTTATTCCAGAGCTTCTCGCATCCAAGAAGCGGCGACTCTGGCTTGGTGCTGGCAGCCCTGCCTCCTCCGCTGACAAGGTAGCAGGTCCCTCCTGTGGATCTCTGATTGAGGACGGCTGTCCTTGGTGTCTCTTGCAAGCAACTCTTCAAGACGACAGACGAGTGTGCTGTCCTCTTGTCTCTCTCCTCGTATGACAACTGTGCTGATTTTGTGAAACGGTTTTCCACATGGCTGTTGCAAGACATAGCCCGCTCTTCGGCCTCTGCAGAGGCAGCTGGATCCAGTATTCTGCTGCCGTCTCAGAGGCCTGGGCTTTGCATGCAAATATGAAGGTGCTGTTAATATATTATCAAAAATAAGTAACAGGCCGTACAAAGGAGAAGGAAGTGAAAGCAGCCAAGGTAATGGCGGTAGATAGATACTTAGGGGATGTTTAAATCAGCTTAAAGATGTATTTTAAGTAGGACTCACCCAAGCATATCTGCATTCGCAGGAAAAGTTTCCTGGGGAGAATAGAGAATTTATAGCAGCATCAATTAGGCCTTGAGAAATGTGTCCCAGGAGGCAGTAAGAGGGGCTGGGTCAGAAGGACAAGTCATTAGCCTGACCTTGGAAATCAAGGCATGAAAATTACCTTCTGCAACGGTGGGTTATGAGAGGCAGTGAGACAGTGAGAATAAAATACGGAGGATTCTCAGAGAGTCGCCACCAACAACCCTCCTCTGAAGTGGATTAATTAGCCTTCTGAAGATGCTACTGAATTCAGGCAATGCAGTCCGAGATGGACCTCCTGCCATTGGAAGACACCGGGCACCCTGCCATGAGAGAAAAGTCAAATTTGGGGTGCTGCTAAGGAGGGAACGGGGGGCAGAGATAACTGGGGCACCACCCACAACAACTCAAGGCTGGTTGGAATTCATTGTACTCGGAACTTCCGTATATTTAAATGAACTACGAGAGAGATACTACCTCAGATTAATCAGGTGAAGTGGGGAACTTTTCTTCCTGGGTAGGAAATGCCTTGAGGCTGTTCCTGAAATACGCACTTTCAGAAGCAAATGAAGCTAACCGGTTCCTTGCCAAATGCTAAATCCCTGGTTGACCACTCATTTTGGGGTGGGAGTGTTCAGCTTAGGGGTCATCAACAGTGGTGGCTTCACATACCATGAAGCACAGTTTGTTGCTGGGCCATGAGTTGTTGTTGAACTGTGAGTTGTCGTGAGGTGTGAACCCAGCCATGCGAAAAACAAAAACATGGTTTGTTAATCACAAATGGTTCACAAAGAAGACCTGTGTTTTGTTGCTTGGTTGTGCATATTGAATTGTTAGTAGCTCGGCTCGGCCCCCTCACACCAGGCAACAGTTCAGTTCAGTTGCCACCATAAGAAATTCCTCAGTGGAAATCAACCACAGTGGCTTTTAGTTATGCTTGGTCCAGATCATAATTTCAATGGAAAAGGAGCTCAGTAAAATCAGTTTTGAAGTCTTTGTGTCAGTAAAAGAGTTCAGTTAGCTAAAAATGGAATGTGTACCCTCAGCGCACACAGCTGCTCGTGATGTTGCTTTCTATGCCAAGTGAAGCCAGTGTGGTGTCGTGGTTAAGAGCATGGAACTGGGACTCAGAGGATCCAGGTTCGAGTCCCCACTTGGCCGTGGAGCCAACTGGGTGACTTTGGGCCAGTCACAGACTCTCAGCCCAACCTACCTCACAGGGTTGTTGTTGTGAGGATAAGATGGAGGAGGGGAATGTTGTAAGCTGCCTTGAGCCCTTTGTAGGAAAAAGGCAGGATATAAATCGAAACATAAATAGATAAATGGATGGATGGATGGATGCTGTCTACTTAGTATACAAGCGTGCATAGAAAGAACTGACCTCTC